AATAATAATAATAATAATAATAATAATAATAATAATAATAATAAACAACCTGTCCTACCCCAACCCTTGTCTTCATCTTCTTCCTCAACCCAACCCCCACTCCAACATCCAACCAAACACAATCTGAAGCCGCTGACCATCACCACCAAACCCACAGCCACCAAAAACCAAAACCACCTCCACTAAATCGAACCATCACATTCCATTTTTATTCCCTCTAAACTAGTCCATCGCCTCCACTAAATCGAACTCAAAAGTCACAGGAATTCCAGTAGATCTACTTGAGTTATCCTTACCTATTTCTATTCTCCCATGGTGTACATGGTTTTTGTTTTCTCGTTCATAAAATCCATTTTCGACCACTTTTGTGATCTCTTAGCAAAATCCAAGCCAGAAGCCATTGATTCACAAAGGTGAATCTCTGCACCAAACATTAGGACAATGTCATTTGGTTTCAAGAAGGGAAAAGTGCATCTCAGTTATAGCAATATCGTGATTTGCTTGGAGGGTTTCAAATAGGGAAAACGCATCACATTGGTCAGTACTCAACCGGATGTTCTATGTTGCTGTCGTGGTGGCAGTGGGATTCTCCACCAATAATTTCTTTTAGAATTGACTTGATTAATTTGAGATAAACGGGGTAACAACCCACCGGTCGTTGATGGGTTTGGTGGTGGTGGCGGTGGGTTTGGATTTGGGTTTGATGGTGGCGGTTGGCGGCTTTGGATTGTGTTTGGTTGGATGTTGGGGTGGGGATTTGGGTTGAAGAAGAAGATGAAGACAAGGGTGGGGGTAGGGGTAGGGGTAGGGGTGGGGCAAATTTTTTATTTTATTTTTTTTAGTTTAATTGTTTTTATTGTTAATAATATTTGAAAAAAAATTGTTAATTCTAAAGTTACCTTTTTACCTTCTTTCAATTTGGTCAAAATTGGTCAAAGTCCAATTTTTTTGGTCAACTAACGGTCAAATTGACGGTGTTATCCATTTGGACTCCAACTGCTATTTTTTTTGAAGGTTTGTGGGCCTTCATTGGTACTAACTGAAGGTTAAGGGAAAGTCCGTTAAAAACCCAAAGGTTTGGGACCGCTACTGTAATTATCCCTAAGATTAATGAGAATGCATTTATTGAGAAATGCAGTTAGAATTGATTAGCAAAAATTCTGAGGGGAATGTGGAGGTAAGACGTCATAAATCTGCAACAATATGTTTTAACCTTGGAGAATCTTGTCTCAAATGCAAGCGCTTCAGCCCTATGCATAATGGGTTTACTCATAAGCTATCTTACAGTAAGCACCCTAGAAGCAACTTATGCAGTGGGACTAGAGTGATCAAATTTCTTTAGCACGTCTCTGATTTTGGCAAATTTTAGCATTATTCCTCTAGGTTTTCCAAGAAATTTTGTGGTCATACAACACTTAACAATTTTTTTCTCAAACAGAACACCGATGATGACTTAAAAGCATGGTAAGATATACAGAAGAAGAGTTGATGGGTGAAGAAAAAGACAACTAAAATCATTTGACACACGAAATGAATAAGATTTATGATAATTTGGGGCCTAAAATAATGATATTTGACAGTTCTTTTGAGATAATATATCTTAAATTATTGTATTTTATGTTATAAAGATAAAGCTTAATGGTTAAACGATGAATTGAAAGGAAGGAGCGAAAATTGGTCAAAAAGGGCGAAGTCCAAAGTTTGAGGATCAAATTGCAAATATTCAATAGTTGATTTGAACCACAAGACGATATTGTAAAAATTGTTAGGAGACAATTAGGTGCAATTAGAAGTCAAAAAGGAATGAAATATGATCAAAATAATATCATAAATCAATTTTCATTCGCACAAGTTATATTTCAAAATTTTAGCCTGAAATTGAGACCCATTTTTGGCAAAGTAAACGACCGAATTGGCAAAACTCTATTTCAATCAAAGTTGTAGTCCTTTAAGTTATATTTCCAACTCACATTGAATCGCATCAATCGGATATCAGAAGAGAAAGTTATGACTAAAATACGGACTGATGTGCAGAGACAAAAAATCCGCGCGCGAAGGCAACTTTCCTTATTCGATTAGAACTCTTTTGGAAACCAATTTGGACGTGATTTTCAACCAATTTTCGGCTCCTATAAAGAGAGAACAGCAGAATACATATGGGGAACCTCCCTAGACCTAAAAATCTCTATATTATACATATTTTGGAGGCGAAGAACGTGGCTAACAACGTGGAATCAAGGCGAATTGCATAGGATATTGAAAATTCTTCATCCGGATTCAAGTTTCACATCAA